TGGTGGTGGTGTGTTCACTATCTCAGGGTTGGTGGTGGTGTGGCTTCACTATCTCGGGGTTGGTGGTGGTGTGGCTTCACTATCTCGGGGTTGGTGGTGGTGTGGCTTCACTATCTCGGGGTTGGAGGTGGTGTGGCTTCACTATCTCGGGGTTGGTGGTGGTGTGGCTTCACTATCTCGGGGTTGGTGGTGGTGTGGCTTCACTATCTCGGGGTTGGAGGTGGTGTAGGTTCACTATCTCGGGGTTGGTGGCTTCACTATCTCGGGGTTAATGTTCTCACTTTAAGAACATAAGAATGGAGGAAACTGCAGCGGGCCTATTGGCCCATACTGGGCAGTCCCGTTTACACCCAACCCCTATTGCTCATATAAGCATCCAACCTATGTTTGAAGCTATCCAGCGTATTCGAGTTAATGATGATATTTGGTAACTTGTTCCACTCGTCCACTACTCTGTTACCAAACCAATGTTTACCTATTTCGCCCCTAAATCTAAATTTGTCTCGTTTAAAACCATTGTTACGAGTTCGCTCCTGGTTATCCAACCAGGAGCGAACCTTTGTAATGTCCCCTTTGTTCAGCCCTGACTTCCATTTATACACCTCTATCATGTCGCCCCTCACTCTACGTCTCTCGAGGGAGTGCAGATTAAGATGCTTTAACCTGTCTCTGTACTCAAGGTTCCTAATGCCCGGGATTAGTCTTGTCATTCTCCTCTGAATTCTTTCCAAGGATTCTATATCCATTCTGTAATACGGTGACCAGAACTGAACTGGGTAATCCAAGTGAGGTCTCACAAGCCCAAGATATAGTTTTAGGATGACCTCGCTAGTCTTGTAACTAACACTCCTTTGTATGAACCCAAGTACCTTATTAGCCTTGTTTCGAGCAAATACACATTGTTTACTTGGCTTAAGATTCCTACTTATCATTACTCCTAAATCCTTCTCGCAGTCAGTTTTCTCAATAACATCGTTGTTCATCTGGTATCTGGTTTCCCTGTTTACATCTCCTATACTGAGTACTTTACATTTGTCCACATTGAATTTCATCTGCCACTTTTCAGACCATTCGAAAAATTTGTTTACCTGGTAGATGAACTGACTCAGGTAGATACGTTCTCACACCGCCACCCAGATGAGAAATATGAGCGTCTTCACCTTCTTAAAAAATCTTTCTCATTTCCTACCAGCAAAAGAGGAAAATTTAACGCGCGCGCGCGCGTGTGTGTGTGTGTGTGTGTGTGCTCACTTCCTTACTCTCCTCACCCCTCTTCTCTCCCCCCTCTCCCCCCTCTCCTTCCCGTCCCCCTCCTCTCGTGAACCCACCAAGGCGAGGCAACACACCTGCCTCCCACCTTGCATTAATTAATCCCTCTAATGACCTTTTTCTTGGGTCAGGTCGCCTCCTAAAGGTGATTGGTTAAAGGTGTGAATATAGTGACGTACGAGTGTTGTGAGTTATTGTTATTATTATTATTATTATTATTATTATTGTTATTATTATTACTATTATTATTGTTATTGTTATTATTATTATTATTATTATTATTATTATTATTATTATTGTTATTATTATTCCTATTATTGTTGTTGTTATTGTTATTATTATTCTTTGTCTCTCTAGTAACTCTCTCTTTACCTCTCATCTCCCTCCCTTTCTTCCTCCTTTCATCTATCTCTCCCTCCTTCTCTCCCGGTCAAGTTAGATTGGATTTAGATTAAGTTAGTTTAGGTTAAGTTTGGTTGGGTTAGGTTAGGTTAAAGATAGAGTAAGTAAGTTCGGTTAATTTTGGTTATGAGGTTGATTAAATTAGGTTAAGTTAGGGTGTTAGGTTGGACTAGGTTAGGTTAGGCAAAGACCGTCCAATCACGAGGCGTTTTGGAGGGAGGGAGGCAAAGACCAACCAATCACGAGGCGTTTTTGTTCTACGGGCTGAAAAATCTGGCCAATCAGACGCCAGCATAACAAACAACATCAAAGAGAAACATGAAAGAAACGAGTATTTTACCTTTATTTTTACACCACTATTATTACGCCCGATATGAAGGGGTTTACCAGGTCTGTCTGTCTGTCTGTCTGTCTATGTGTATATATGTATGTGTGTGTGTGTGTGTGTGTGTGTGTGTGCCCCCCATAAATACACACACACACACTCACATATATACAGTGAAAGCAGATTGAGGGTACATGTATGTTTATGTATACATTCATAGGCTACCTAGAAGCTTATGTATAAATGCATACATCATCTCTTCTCTCTCTCTCTCTCTCTCTCTCTCTCTCACACACACACACACCATCAACCCACCCCTTACTCCCTTTCCCTCCTTCCCTCCCCTCCCCAGTCCCCCCCACCCGCAATCCCCCATTCTTTCCTACCCACCTTCCTCCCTCCTCTCCCTCCATCCTTCCCTCCCTCCCTCCGTCCTTCCCTCCCTCCTTCCCTCCCTCACACCTGCCCATGAGAGGAGTGAGATGAAGGAGAGGTGCACGGTCTGACTGTCACGTCTCCCAACAGTTACAAAAATACACAAAATATTAATAAAAAAAATGATAAATAAAACAAAAAAACATAAAAAACGAGATGCT